AAAAAAGTCCTTCGCGCCGGGCAGATGCCGAATGCCCTTTGACCTGCGTGCGTTGGCAGCGCGCTGCCAGGCCCCCCGCCATCCATCGGGCATTCGCCGGGGGCGTGGGCCCCTCCCCCTCCCCCCCCTACGTCGTTGGTTCGCTTTCTTTCCCTATCAGTATCACACGAGTTTCGCCGTGCATTCTGCGACAATGTGCTCATCTGCTCTAGAATCTGAAGGAGAGTAACTGATAAGTTGTTGGAAGATTTTACGAACCTATCGCGCTTATGACAACAATTTACATTTCCATGATAAAATCCGTATTGGGGACTTGCCTTTCAGCAGGAGAAGGGCGAAAACAGATTTCTTTTCAGAGAGGAAAAGTCAATTACTTCACAGATTAAAGAACGAATTGAGCAGGAATTCTAATAATACAAATTGGGCAAATTTAATGTAATGACGAGTCAATGGTTCAAAGAAGACATTACAACTCAAAAATTGTATTTTTACTTTCTTGTATACGTACGTAAATGTGAAAGTAAGGTTAATGCGTAATATTAGTACGTAAATGCGTAAGAGAAAGTTATGTAATGATACGGAAAACTGGGTTTGAGATTTTAGAGGAAGCACACGATTTAGGATTCCACCGAATAAGTGATTTTTTCAAAACGTTCGTCTGCCCCTCCGTCTCTCTGTCCGTCCGGCTGTCTGTCTGTATATCTATCTGTCAATAACACTAGCCTCTAAAGTAAACCATTCTCGGAAATTTTTCCGTAATGAATATTACTCGATCGATCTAGTCCGAGTCCTAGTCCTAAGCAGACGTGCGCAGATTATCTTCTCCCTCATACGTCACATACAGTTTTTACTGTTAATCTAAAAAAATCAAAATTTAAATCTAAAGCCCCTGCGAATTTGAAACTACACTTTTTTATTTTTGAGGGTTCACCATGCCAAACTCCAGAAACAATTTCAAAATCTTCTCAAAAGTTACTCCAAAATTCTTGTTAGAATTGAATGAAATACACTTATAATGATGGCCGATTTTCACTGCTAACTGTGAATTTTCGAAAATAGCAAAGGTTTAAAATGTGTAGTACAACTGCCTTATTGAAGGTAGGGATTTTTTCAAATAAAATTTGTTATCCACAATCAATTCTTTAATTAATGTCATGTACATTTTAAAAAATAGTAGATATCTCGCTATTATTTTGAAATTTTATACATACGATGTATGACAAATATATACTTTTGAAAAAAATAGTGAGTCATCCATAAATAAACTAAATTTTAAATATTGACAAATAGCTAGTCAACAAGTATACGACTACAACAAATAGGTGTTGGCTTTTTTCACTAAGTCACATGTCCACTTTTTTTGGTTCATAGTCAATAAGGCAATAATACTCGTACTTAAACATAGATTTCGCCACATTTTGGGAAAAGACTATTGTGTCCCTGTGTTTGTCATACTTGTAAATTTCAAAATGTTTCTATACGTTCCGTACATCATTTTTATCCGAGATTTAATACATTTACGGAAATAAAATGTTTTATTACGTGAGGCTACGGGTCGCCTTTCAAAACTTTCAGCTCCTCCCCAAGTGAACGTCTATGCTTGAGAGGCAACTGTATGGAATGTGTGAGCAATTTGTGTGTGTAATTGAGGAGTTGGCTCTTCATCCCGAACAATGGTGTAACCATTGAGGGATTTTTTCTGTCTTTCCTCCGGGATTTAACAATCGAGATTGGTCCGCGGGTTACTCTGGAAAAATATTCAATGGTACATGATCGAGATATGCTTATGTTATGATCGGGGAGGGGGAATATACTTTTCACTTGTCCCCAGAGGAGCGGTAGGTACCACGCATAAAGGCCCTGGTAAGTCTTATGCGCACGCGCAGATAGTACCAGCTGGGAAGAGGGTGGGGTAATTTCGTAGGTCACGCACATTAAAATCTAATGATAATACAACAACACGTACTTTCTCGCACTAACGGTTAGTTAATACAACAATCCCGCAATTTGTGTCCATGTTAACACTTCTCCGCCAGTACTTGTAAAACTCATAAATCATAGAGCATTAGGTCCGAACATTTAATTCAAAGGTAAATCAACACAAACACGAATTCAACAATCCAAAACTGCTTTTCAGTCAGCCATAACTATCGCCCAACAATAAGAAGGAATTCTCACAATTTCAAACTGCCGTGTTGTGACGTTGCCCTTGGCGTATATTGCGATCTGATATCTCGTAAAAATCTCTAGCAAATGAAGCGCGAGCCATTCGAATTTGCAATTTTAGTGATCGTGTAAAATATGCGAAATTACTCATTTTAAAAAGAAATGTACACGAACTTACTTAAATATATAATTATGGATTACAGTTTTCATTAAGTAAAAAATCTTTCATGAGTAATATATTTTTACACATTTTTTGCGATTTTTGAAAATACAGATAGTTAAAAAATGGGCTCTGCACCAATTTTAAAAGCATATTTTGCTCTATCCGCGAAAAAAATAAGAAAACATTTTGTGAAAGTTTAAAGATTTTTTTTAATAGCGCTTATTCCAGGCAAAATTTTGCGAAAACTACTCTTGTTTGAAAAAATTGTAACCGCCCAGCAGCAACGAAGCTCAGGTGGATTGGGAATTGCATTCAACTGAAACGCCGTCTTGCAATGCGGCGCCATCTAGTGGAGTTACAACAAAATGAATATCATAAATCCTTTTCCGTGATAAAGCGCGTAGACGTGCCAACTTTCATAGAGATCGGTCAAACGGTATCGGAGAAATCGATCTAGAAAATACCAACATCAATTATTTATATAAATATACGTAGCTCCTGATAAATAAATAACGTTTTACTAATTAAATTCATAATTACGAATCAACTAATTACATTACTAATTAAATTACTAATAAACTAATTAAATAACGCGTCCCAATCAGTTAAATAACTCTTTATGATTAAATAACTCCTGAAACATTCTAGCAAAAGACTTGCGGGAAATTGGAATTTTCATTTTCGAAAATGTGCAAAATTACACAAAATCATTCACAAAACTGATAACACCTTTTTTAAAGAACTATTTTTAATACATTTCCTTTAACAATTAATTGTATTACCAATATTGTACTTATGCAATGTTAATGATTTTTTGCAAGTTTTGGAAATACAGAGAGTTAGTTGAAAATGGAAACCAGCGCCACTATCTTTACCGTTCTTTGCTATATACGAGGAAAAATGAAAAACATTCAGCTTTTGAGCAAATGATTGTTTAAATTGTTTTAAAATTGCCTGCGTTTACCACAAAATTGCACAAAAAATAATCAGATTTTCGAAAAATTGAAGACCTTATTTGAAGTTCTATTTTAGTGAACAGATTTCAGTAAGGAACATTTTCTATCTTCGTTATTCTAGTTGAAGGAAGAGCTACTTTAGAGAAAATTTAAATACTTTAAAAATGAGACTTCACGTAAAGTACCTCCGAAAATCAAAATATCCATTTCAAATTCAAGGAGGGGCCGCGTCATCTATCAGATCGATAAAGGAGTATCAATTTTGGTGTTAATCCTGCTTTCGGTTTAGCCGCTAACACAGACAGACGAACAAACGTTTTGCCATCAATCGGCTTTCGGTATCAAGGACCCCCTAAACGTGGATTCTGACTACACAACTTGTTAGAGGAAGTAATTTATTACATACAGGAAGAAGATTTACGTACTTTTTTCGTTTCTAACGCCCGGCAATAAGAGTTTTTCAATCGAAAATTAGCTATTTGTTTCCCCCACAGCTTTACAATACTTTCTCTACATTGCGTAAGCATTAGACGAGAAAGTAACGAGTAGTGCTACAGAATGGCACAGGTTTTCCTGGCTCAGTTTTCTAAAGTATTTAGTCTAGGGTACCTTTTCAGTATCACCGCATCCTCTTCCCAGCTACTGCCTGTTGATGGCCCCAAAACGACATTTTATCATATTTTCTCAATTGTTAGGGGCCCCCAGTTGTAGAATTGTTGAAATAAATCTTTAAGAATATGTATGTGTGTGAAGTGTAAAATATAGTGCTATAGGGACATTCTATTGAAAAAATTGGAGCCGTTATCGAGCAAATATTTTTTGAGCGTTTGTGCAATTTTGAGTTCATTTGCACAGAAAAGTTTCGAGTTTTCGAGAAAGGGAGAATTCATATTGAGTTGTTCGAAGATGTCCAAAATATTTTGAATTTTTGCAATATTCGAACAATTAGAGATTTTAAGGAAAATGAGACGGACACCATTTCTTAAAAGAGTTGTTTACGCTATCCGAGGACGAAGTTTAATTCAAAATTCTTGGGACAGTTTTTAGAAATTTCTGAAAAAGTCGAAACCTCGTGTAAAGTACCCCCTTCATGAACTTAAACATGTATATCAATCTCAAAGGGTCACAACATCAAACAGATGGATCGTAGAATATCAATTTTCGTGAAAATCGGGAAGTTTTAGTGAAAAAACATGAAGACGGATGGACAGACGTTTTTCGGTATCAAGGACTCACAAAAAGGTGGATTCTAACTACACGTGTTAGAGGAAGTAATTTAACTATATTCTGGAACATGATTTATCAACCTTTTCTGTATAATGCTACCACAAAACCAGTTTTCCTGTCGAGAAATCGCCGTTTTTCCCGCAGCATTACAAAACTTACTCTACTCTGCGTAAACAGTATGCGAGAAAGTATACATGTGGGGTTACGCCTTGGGCAAGAACACATGTAAGACCCGATATGCCGCGCATTTCCACTAGTTTTAGCAAGTGGGAGAATGCTCTGTAGTTGTAACTGAATTGTAGTACACCTACACATAACATAAAAATGTATGTATGTAGAGTAATAAAATACATAAGAGGATATTATGTTTGAAATGAAGAGCGCGCGTTGATTAACTGTCTCTGGCCTTAGTTCTTCTGACATCCATGTCTGTAGATTTCGGTACGGCGAATGACGAAAATTCTTATGTAAAAACAAATGTCTTATATCGTGTTTTGACGCTATACGTTGTGTCGTAACGTGAGAGGAAATCGACGATTACGTGCTGTTGCTACCCGCCAGTCTGATTTTTAATAGGCGTTCAAATAGCCGCGCTTCGACCGCAGCCAATAGAGTAACGGGATTGATTAATTGCTATCTTGGAAGTCTTTTTACGCGCTGTCCGGAGGAGTGTTACGCTGGAAAGATACAGAGGCCGCTGTTTACCAGGCTCTTCACGAGATCAAGAACGACGTGCCTGCTTTTGTCTGGACTACTGTGTCGTAGAATTTAGAGGATTCTCCCAACTTTTCGTGAGCTTCACCATGGCGTCTAAGCAGGTGGTGAATTTCGGCGCAGGTCCAGCGAAATTGCCCGAGGAGGTACGAGGTAGCTTCAGTCAAATTAGAATATTTTTATTTAGTGTCTTTTTCTGAAGTGTGAATTGAAATTTTTAAAGAAATGTTGGGTGTTGGGTGTTGTATAAACTTCCTCAAATTATTTTATAAGGTAGTTAGTTTGAGGTCGCTGATGTTAAAATGATTCTGCCATTCCACTAGTCATTGTGGTGGCGGCATTTTCGAAAACGTCCTTCAGCGAGGCTCGCCACAAAAGTGATATTAATTTTGAAAATCATTGATCATTCACTTCTTATAGTACATTCAATATTGTGAATCATACTTTTGGAATACAGTATATTATTAAAATAAATATTTTTTGAATATATTAATTTAAATTCTAGACAATTTTTTAATTAAGTGCTAAATTAATTAAATTTATTACAGGTTTTACTTAGAGTTCAGAAAGATCTCCTGAACTTCAAAGATTCAAATCTTAGTATAATGGAAATAAGTCATCGATCAACAGAATATTTGAAGTTCAATGATGATACTCAGGCTGCAGTGAAAGAGTTGTTGTAAGTTCAGTGAGTCACATTATGTAAATAAATTTGAACTCAGAGCTTTTTGGTATATTTTGAAAAAGTTAATAACATATTCTCTTTTTTTAGGAAGGTTCCTGATAACTATAAAATCCTTTTTATGCAAGGAGGAGGAACTGGTCTTTTTGCAGCTGTTCCTCTCAACCTCATGTCTCGAACAGGCTCAGCTGACTACTTCGTTACAGGTATTCTCTATTAATTTAGAATTGTTATTGTTCCTCTTACTGATATTTTCCATAATCTGTAATAGTCGTAAGTTAATAAAAAATTAAAACTGTGCTGTTCATATTTGCTGAATGTTGCTTCTCTCATTAAAGAAATTTCTTTTTTCTGTCATGAAATATTTTTTGTTTTTGCCTACTACATACTGCTTCTGAAATATCTCGATCTACTTCTGTTAACACTATGTGTTTATTATTTAATTATAGGATCGTGGTCAGCAAAGGCAGCTAAAGAAGCCACAAAATATGGAAAAGTGAATCTTGTTCTTCCAAAGACAGACAAATATAATGACATTCCTGATCCTTCCAAGTGGAAATTGGATCCAAAAGCTTCTTATGTTTATTACTGCTCAAATGAAACCATACATGGTATTAACTTGTTCTTGCTAAGATGTTCTGAAGGCAAATAGAAATAAAAGGAGATAAAATTGGGTTTTTAATATTTCTCAAAAAAATTGCAGGTGTTGAATTTCCATACATTCCAGACACACAAGGTGTACCTCTTGTAGCAGATATGTCTTCTAACATTATGTCCCGACCTATTGATGTCTCAAAGGTAGCGTCTCAAAATTAAATTCTTTTGAGTATATTAGTAGAATATTTCCAGTGGACATATTTTTAATACTTTATGTTTATTCAAATTTACCTATGTAATATTGTGTATGAAACTTTTTGTGCAGTTTGGAATTATTTTTGCTGGGGCTCAAAAAAACATTGGACCTGCTGGAGTTACTTTAGTAATTATACGAGAGGATCTGTTGGGAAACCCTTCACCTTTCTGCCCCACAATATTGGATTTTAGTATTATGGCAAAAGATAATTCTGTACATAACACTCCACCAACTGCTGCGTAAGTAAATAATGCCAAGTCAATTTTAAATTGATTATTTGGTACCACTACAAACATTAAATGTTAATTCCATTAGCAAGATGCAATTAAATATTCATTTATAAAAATATACTTATTTATGTGTGAATATGAACACTTTGAACATACTTTTATATGTATGTGAATGAAGCAATTTGACAAAAACTTCTAATCCACTATTTTACATGAACACTCTTAAGCCACTGAGAAAAATGTAGAGAGGTATGCAATTCCAAAATGCTACTCATAATTTGATTTCATCAGAGAACTTTGTCACTGGAAAAGGCGCATCCTGTAATACATCTACACAGCATTGTTAATTAGCAAGGCAGGTGAAAAGGGTGAGGCAGACCCAATGGGAGAAGTAAGTGGGACAGATGAAGTGGGAGAACGAACAAAGTAGCTGATCTGGGGGAGTGGTAAATGGATTTGTAATTGGCTAGATTCAAATGAATTATATCGAGAAATTGATAATGCACATTGTACAGAACTTGGTTGCAGAAACAAATTGAATGAATAATGAGTGAGAGTTGTCCTTATGAACAATGCTGACCAACATTTATTAAACAGTATAATGTTATGGCTGAATATATACATTTGACACCTGTGAATAAGCTGATAAGTCTAATTTCTGCAGAAAATAAGATACATGTACAAAAGGATTTGCCTAAACATTCTTTACATTTGTGAATTATCAGGTAAGTTAGCTTTTAGTTGCTGAGTAATGGGCACATGAGAATTTATGAACTTTACAAAAATTTAATAAAATCACAATCCCTAAGAAGATAATTCAAGATTTGAGGTATTTCAGGTTAGAGAATTAGTTCATATAATCTCAATGAAAAAATACATGGTTTTTCAATAAAATAAAGTTTTCACACATCAGATTATTCATTGAACTGAGAGATATTTTAAAGAAATTTGTAATTTTTGTGGAAAGAGTCCTAATGGAAGGCATGTTTTTGTCAAATTTTGATATTTGTACATACAGTAGTCAACATAGTACTTCCAGTTATTAGATATCAGTGTCACTTTCACATTGCCAGAGAGCTAATTATGTTTCATGTAATTCTATTCTTTTTAATAATTTTCTCACAAAATCACACATATTTACAAAAAGAAGTAAAATCATTTCTGCTGCATCATTGTTTTTATAGTAATAAGAAATGCGTTGACTAACAAACTTCTGTTTGATGTGATCAACATGCATGTAATATTTGCAAATCCTCTGTTTCTGTTTGCTGTTATAAACTCCATGTTTTTTGCATTAATTTGATAGGTCAGGAGGAAACATAATAAGAATCAGTTCTTGAAACTGAAGAAACTGCATTTACAGTGTCAACTGCGTTCTTTCAGAATCCAGTCCATTAAATAGATGTTGTTTATGCTTGTGATATTTTCTCTATCTTTGTACCATAGAGTACAGATTTTTGTGAAAGTTAACTACTGATTTTGTTCTTTCTTCTTAACTAATATTTATCTTTTTTCCCTCTTTATATGTTTCCTTATATATTTCCTGATCCCACCATTATTCTAGACTATATTTCATTGCAAGGAAGCAATTCAAATTCCATCAAGGTGGTATTATTATTTCAAAAATGTCAATTTCTTGACTTAAATGGTTTCCTCCCCTAAAACTTTATTAAAATATTCTCTACTACTTTGTCATTCTATTACAATTTTTCTGCTTCAGGATTTATGTAATGAGCAGTGTATTTGAGTGGATTAAACAGCAAGGTGGTGTGGAAGGAATGGAGAAACACGCTGTAAGGAAAAGCCAATTATTGTATGATACCATTGATCAATCTCAAGGATTTTACTGCTGCCCATTAAATCCCAAGATAAGAAGTCGCATGAATGTCCCATTCCGCATTGGAAGTTTGAATGGAGACGAAGCTTTGGAGAAAACATTCCTGACTGGTGCACAGGAACGTGGATTACTTCAACTCAAAGGCCACAGGTATGAACTGAAAGTGAAAAGACTAACTAATGTAATAATGTTCTAGTCACCATAATTCACCAAAACGAGAAAATAACAAATAAAATACTATTCAGGGATTTAATTTAATTGAAGTAAACAACCAAAAGATGAATCAAATCACTAAAAGAAATGTACACTAAAGAGATAGAATAAACAAATCTCTCATAGAATTTGAAGTAGGTGATAGAAGGGTTAATTAACCTTGAGAAATGTTTTTTAAAGGAAATTATTATTAATTAAACCATCATTTTTCCACAATCTATTATTTTAAGAAATTGTTTCTTGATGATTGAGAGAAGGATTTCTGGTTGTCAATGACTTCTTCACATGCAGTGAGGTGAAGAAGCATTTCAAAAACTCACTGCAGAGAAACGAAGTTGATTAGAGTTTTTCCCCATGAAAACACTTTCTCCATGAAATATTCATTGAAGTTATATTAGCCACCAAAATAAAGTGCATAATTTTAAAACAAGATATGATATATCACCATATGCGTGCACACATGGAGACCACAGCCATGACAATGGCCATGGCCATGGTCTCTGTGAATATTTTGTAGGAGCCCCATAGTCCTATGTAGTAAAGCATTGTATTTTCCGTAAATACAATCAATTCCAGATTTTCGTCTGATTAGTTTTTAAGAAGTCAATTTGAGGAATTGATATACAACATTTTGGAAGAGGCTCATTGATGTGATGACAATGGGCAAGCACTATGCACACAAAATTATGGTTTGATAATTTTGAGGGATAAATATGGTGCATCTATGATCTTCAGTGAAATCTCTCAAGTTTCGAAAATTACATTTACTCTCTGAATGTACAATACATTGGTATTCTCATATTACAACTCTACAATTTTTTTTAATGGTACTAAGGAATTCACATCCATTCAAATTTTTCATTACAATATATTAAAATATTAAAATTACTTATTGCTTTGATACTGCCTGCTATTAAGTTGCTTTAATATTCCAATGTTTCATTATTTGCTTAAATAGGTTTTCCAAGAGGTGGCTGAAATTTAGGATAGAATTGGATAGATAGATAAGATAGTAGGATAAGTAGCATTCAACTCAGAATATTATAGTATAATGTATCCTTTATAAATAAATACGATAAAGTGCTGTTGTAGCACCTTTACTTTTGACAATGGTTCCACCAGTTTTGTTATCGTTTCACTTGAAGGAATCATTGTAATATATGATTTGTTCTCTTGATTCAATTGAGTAAACTGTGGAGTTATAAACAATGTTTACAAATTATCTGTAATATTTAATATCTATAATAATATTTGGTCAAAGCAACAGTCTTAGACAAAGATGTTCTTCTTTGCAATACAAGAGTCTTGTTTTTCTTCTCCTTTAACTGGTATTGTTACAGTATTACTTTGCAATAATAATTCATGCTTCTTTTAAAAAATATATTTTCAATAAATTTGCTGCAGGAGTGTTGGAGGTATTCGTGCATCATTATACAATGCTATAACCTACAAAGAGGTAGAAACTTTGGTTCAATATATGAAAGAATTTCAAGAACTGACAAAGAAATGAAGACAACAGTTGCTTGTGAATGGTACACAGAAGTAAGAGCTTGAGACTGAAAATCACACTTCTTTAACAACAGAAGGGACCATTTTTTATTTGATAGAAATTGTGAACAGAATGCTTTGTAAAAATATGAAATTGAAAAATAAATTTTATCCATATGTGATAACTTTGAAGTATATTTATTTACACTTTCCATTTTACAGAAGAACTATCTTCTCTACTTATAAGATAACAATATTCTACAATTTATAAGAAACCATTATCACAAAACTCCAAGAGTACTACTACTATATTGTGAATTTCCTCCCAGTCCTTCAACAAAGAAGTTTGAATGCACAGTAATTTGAAATTACAGAATAGATGGGAAACTAGGCGCACATGCAACCAGCAACGCACATGACGCTGCAACATCCAGGGAAAAGTGAATTGGCAATTTCTCCAGATGCTTTTATCTTCTCCAATTTTGAATTTCTTTTGAGGGGGCATTCAAAATTTCAAATATGGACGACGGAAGAATGGTTAACGAAACAATACCATGTCCACGCAGCATAATATGAATGAATCCTAAAAAAACATTATCTTGTGCATATATTTTCTTGTCATATTTCTGTAGTTTGAATTTCTTCATTTGAACAATTCGGAGCGTGGAAACCATAAATACGCAACGTAATACATATTAATTGCATCTCTAGCAAGGAATATTAATACTTCTTTAGTTGGAAACCCTCAACGCTGTAAGTCGCGTGATCTCGTGTTATGTTTTTCATGCCGAAATCTACAAAATAGGACTTTTAAAACATTCATATTACACCGTAGAATGGGTTGACAGAAACACGGGAAAGTTCGGTCTCAGTAGCAAGCTATTTTCACTTTTAATACAATGATTTAAAAAGTGCTATTGTTTGGAGATAGCAGTTATTGTGCGAAATACCTTTTACATCTTTCTAAAACCTTTTTAGGATTTCCGGTCTATTGGATACTACATTAGATCAGGGGTGCCCAGCTTACATAGCGTCAAAGGCCACAACTTTAATAATATGGTTGCGGGCCATATTTTCATTACTCGGGTGATCCACACATAACTTCCCAGTGTTGTTGTTCTCGGCATTTTGCCCGGTTGCTCTCCAACTGGGGTAGGGATGAGGGGATGGAACCATGCGTGAAAGAAGACCGTACAAGGGCAGGTGCGCTCCGGCAGAGCGCGTGCTCTAGATGCAGGTCTGCTTCTACATCAGGGCAGTCCAACTGGCTGTCCGCAGTGCCAGTTACTGTGGCCCGCGAAAGGTTATGAAAAGTGAAAAACTCTTTCATTTATGTCGAATTAATACAATGTGTGTCTAGAACATGCACGCTGCAGAGTCCAACACTCCCTTCAATGTAATTTTTTTTTTTAATTGAATGAATTCTAAAAAAAACATTATCTTGTGCATATATTTTAGGTAGATTTATGGAATTTTCTTTTCTAATAAATTCAAAATCATCCCAACGTGATTCATTGCGTTATGCATGGTTCAGCATGATATCACGCATGGTTCCACCATCCCACCCCCCTTTTCTGAGCAGTCGGGCAAACTACTGACATCAACGGGAAGTCAGATGTGAATGGCCTTAGAAATGAAAAGATTGTCCGAAACCATATTAAAGGTTTCGGTTAAGGCCCTTGAGACATTGCTCGTTGGACAACCGTGCCCTGCATGGATGAAAGGGACTTTGTCCAAGAACCTTTCGTGGACCACAATAAAAATGGCACCGCGGGCCCCTGTTTGGACAACCCTACTTTAAAGTTATAGACGTGCGCACAAGAGAGAGGGAGGGGTGGCGTGACCTCCCTGAACATTTTGAAAGCGGCTACCCTTTCCCACTCGAAGTAATAAAACGTTTTGTTGCCGTCAATTTGTTCAACTCCTACGAATTGTACAGAGGGTACAGTGTCAGCCATGCAATCATGCTAGTTGAAGTTTTCTAGAGGGCGTTGAGCCATGTGAGATTTTTTTTTTTTTTTTTTTGACAGCTGTTGTTGCCACACCACAGGGATCGTGCTAGGAGGCGTAGTCGGTGATTAACACGAATAAAATAATTCGCTTTTATTCCACGAACGTTGGCTAACTTGTCTTAGAGTCGTGGAATCACCTATTGTATTGTCATTCCCCTAAAGGAAAATGTTCACGGAAAAATATTTTGTTAAAATGATAGAATATTGTGAAAATATTTTGAAACTATCTTCAAGATAAAAGTTAATATTTTCTGTGTGCTGCATTTAGTTAATATTTGGGGACTTCACTACAGAAATGAGATGTTCAAGTAGCAGGAATTGTGTTTATTTGGCGGGCTATTCGCCTGCTTCGTAATGTGGTTACATACGAAAAGCAAGAAAAACATACTAAATTCTTTACAACTGAAAGATATGAAGCGGCACAATTACGTGAATGAATAAGGCGTGATTTGCATGTATTGAAGTATGTTTAAATTTGTGACATGTGAATTAGATCAGCATGTGTAATGGCTGGCTTGTATCATGCATACTGCTTGACCGGCATGAAGCACCTACATCGTGATTTAATGTTCTTTTATTTTGATATATCATTTTATATATCGTTTTTAAGAATCTACCTTTCAGTTTTTGCCTCTCGGTCACGACAACTTAACAGTAGAGAGTGCTGCTTGAGCAAAAGTTTAGATGAAGGGAAACAACTTACATACAGGCGGTTTCATCAAAGGTGCAGAATTATTATTCTCTCAGAGATAAAAGAAATAATTGAGTATTACGACAGCAGATGTGTTTCAGAAGTGGATGAAAGATTTCTTCCTTGATTGTTAGAACGTCCATTTATGTTATGGACAATGTAGCTGTTCATTCTGTGCTGGTGAGTGATATTTTTCAACAATGGTTCTTTTAATGTGAAAAACACTGATTTGAGAAATTTATTTCATCCTTTTTTTAAAAAAATAATTGATTATAAAACAGGTACTGCTACTATACAATTCAGTCATGAAAATAGTTGTTTCACACTATAAAGAGTGGAGTACAACATGTATTAAATTCAATTATGTTCAATGATCTTATAGCAAAATCATAATACAATTTTAATTGGAACATAAAGTTTGCTTATTGAATGTATAAAAGCTTCTGAGACTGTTGTTCAGAAAAAGTGTCTCACTGAAATAAGTGTAAATGTAGTTGAATTAAATCATAGAATACCACAATTTTATTTTTTGTATAATTTTTGTCAATATTCATGCGCCAGGGTCTTCATATAAAGTACCCCCAAGTACGTTGTTCAAAATCTCAATGCTTCGACGCCAGATGGACGGAGGTTTCTTCAATTTGGAATAAAATCCTATTCGTGGTTTAAGCGCTAGTGGTGTTCACAGTTTGACAGACAGACGTTTTCAAAAAACACTTTGTTGGTATCTGGGGACCCCAAAACGTGTATATGCGTTGAAATCTCGAAATCGATTTTTCCACAGCATTACATAACTTTCCCTATACTACGTATATTACTGCGTATATGCGTACGTTCACTTTTATTTATTTAATTAATTAATTTACGTCAAAAACCGTTAAAAACTGTGTGACGTGCTATGGGGAGAAGTTAATTTGAAGTTACATTTATGTCCAGAAGCAAAACAAGGGGCTATCTCAGCATTTGCTCAGTATTAGGGAAACTGGACGAAAACCTGATCGAGATGAGAAAGTAGAAGCGAACTAGTGATGCTGCAGAATGGCACATACATTCTCATATTAGTTTTCTATTTTCTTTGGTCTCGACTCGCTATTCGGACTTGCCACATACTCTTGCCAGCTGCCATATATCACTGTCCAAAGCACATTTTTTTGTGGACATTTTCTGAATTTTTTGGTTATCTAATAGTGGAACGAAAATATTATTTTAAGGATATTGAAGAACAGTAAAACCTCGTTTTAAATAGCCATTTTCTATGTAAAATTTGGAGATGTTTTTAAGAAAGTGGCGCTTAAGCACTACTGTAAATTCGAAATTTGAAGCCCTTTCTTTACAGAAAAATCTTCACTAGAAGTCATTTGAAGCATATCCACTCACAAATACAATAGCGTTTACAAATTGCTGGAAATGTGCATATTAACGGCGTGAGAGATCTTTCAAAAAATACATTTATGTAATATATGTCAAAATGAACTTAACGTCATATAAAATGGTACAATTAGCACTATCCGTTCGGTAACTTTGAAGAAAAATTTGCAGAAGTTTTAGAGAAATGGCGTTTAAGCGGTTCTGAAAAAGCGGAATTTTGAGCTAGATTTCGCAAAAAACGGTTGAGTTTTCGAGAAACTTTATATGCAATTTGGAAAAAATCCTACGTATGGTTTAACCGGTAGTGGTGTTCACTGACATGTTTTGCCGTCAATTGTTTTTCCATATCAAAGACCCACAAAACGGGGATTCTGGCTACACCACATGATAGAGGACTTATTCTTAATTTAGCAACTGGATTTATCCACTTTTTCGTTATCACGACCAGCCAATGAAGTATTTCTGCCGAAAATCCGCCGTTTTTTCGCGCAGCATTACATAACTTTTTTCTATACGACGTATATACGTGTGTATACGGGAAAGAAAGAAAGAAAGCAAGAAAGGGGGGGGGGAAGAAAAAAAAACAACAACTAATTCGCGAAAGTCTGTGCCATTCTGTATCACCACTAGTATATTACTGCAAGTGTAAGAGAAAAGTTCCTGGCAATGTCAAACTAGTAAAGCAATAAATGAAACAATTATTGTGTTTTTAAAACATTCTTTAACAATTATTGTTTATGAAGCTAAAATAACAACTAATAAATATTGCCAACATCCAGGGGAATAAATTATTTGTGTTGAGATTCTGCATTTTTAACGATTAAAATTCAGTGGATTTTCTGCAAAAATTACAATGTAACAAAATTGTTAAGATTAAAAAGCTTAAAAATGACAACTGTGGGACTCTGAGGAAAATGAAGCCAAGTACCAGTTTTCACTTTCTGAAATAATTGAATTTAAATATGAACCTGAAATTAGAAACTCTATTATTAATAATATTAATCACATTAGTTTGCTTTTCTCGACTTGGCAATCTTTATACATAAATTATTGTTTTGCAAATTACTTTCAGATTATAAATATTTAAACTTCTGAAAATTGACTACTTTGCATTATACAGTACAAGAGAATAAGCAGTAGCCTACCTATTTTCCTTCAATCATAGTATCCAAATGATGACTGTATTAAATTATGATCAAATTAAGAAGCAAACAAGAATGTTTACAAGTAGAAAACAATCTGCTTTTAGTAAATTTGATATTTTAATAAGTAGATAAAAATAATATGAAAGTTAATGTTATCTTGGAATTTTAAATTTTTCTTTAAGACAAAATGAATGTGAGGTTGTATATATGAAAATTCTTAGAGTCATATCTTTCTGCAGTTTTCACCTCCTATTCAGTATCTTTTACTTAACTTTCCTCACAATGAACGTAAACATTTTTCTTTATGGTAAGATATGGAGCTAAATATTTAGTTATGTTTGACTTTTCTAGTGTAATGGGTAACGTACAGAGGAAAAAACCCTTGATATGTTTTGCTGTTGCTTTCTGTACTTCACTAGTTTTTTGAGGTGGCTCAAATTGGTCTTGAGCTCTTGGAGAGACATCTAATGATTATCTACATTGATAATATAAAATCAGTACGTGTAATATCAATATCTTACAAAGTACAACCCTAGGACTGGGAAGTAAATGGTTGGTTATCTCATTTTCCTTCACTCTTCCTTATACCAAGTTTTGTAGCTGAAAGATAGTGAGTGTTCATGTTTCTAAATCGTGAAATCATAGTAGGTTAAACTCCAAGGTTCTAACAGTATATAAAGCATCACTGGAAACAATACCATTTAGAATATCTTTCTTCCATTAGAAACTACTAGAAACAAACTTTCAGTTAATGGATATCAACCAAGTGATATTTTACCTGTAACAGTACCTAGTGCCCAAACATGCACTTCACTGATTTTTCTTCAAAATCCTTACACACCTGTTATACTAATGCCACAAAACATCAATTGATTTGTAGAATATTAATAAGGAATAATGATTTTATGTAAAAAATGTGATTCACTATTTTATGAATAATTCTGGTAATTTATTTTACATAACATTTAACTTTTAGACATCTTGACCAATTAGTAATTTACTTTAAGAAGAATTGAAAGAAAGTAAAATTGAATTGACATTTCATACAGGAGTTGTTATCTCTTTCAATAAAGGCATTCTGTAACATCTTTATCAAACTAAACTGTGAAGATAACTAAACACTTCTCAACTGAAATAAACTATCCAATTCTTTTTCTAAATATGTATTTGTTCCTTTCAGGCCAACAACAACTTTTTTGGCCCACACAAAATATTCATGCACTCTTTCTTCATTCCATCCTTCTGGTGTTGCTCTATTCAAATCACGCAAATTGAAGAGCTTATCAGCCAACTTAACCAATTTTGCTTGTGGGCTGGATTCAATAGCATGCACAATTTGAAGTCTTTTTCTCTCTTCTTTGGGAAGAGATTTATCATCTGTAACTTCTTCAACAATTTTCCTCACAACAGGTCCAAAATTTTCTTCAATTTCTGAGAAAGAAGTGTCAGTATCTTCAACTGTGTCATGCAACAAAGCAGCTAAAATAATATTAATATCATTCACTTTTGCTTCTTCCACAAGTATGTTTGCCACTCCTGAAATATAAATCATAAGATATCAAGACCAAAAACACTCAAACCATCAAAACTCTACCTGTCAGTTAAATTGTCAGGGCTTAAAATAGTAATTTCTGAAAATGAACTTTACCAATGGGATGATTGATATACGGAGTTTTTTCGGGATCTTTTCTTCGTTGGTTTTTATGTTTTTCTGCAGCGAAATAAACACACTTAATAATGCTAGATATTGGGTCTTGATTACACGACATAACAGCCGATAACAGCGGCTTTTCAGTTTAACTTAAACCAACCTTGTTAAGCAAATATCGATAATCGGTTGAAAATTGCACGGAAATCGAAAAGCACGATATTGCCCGATTGAAGTAGAGCACAGCCGACTCTACACGTGGCCGTGGCTTGATACAGTCGCGATTACGCGATCTCTAGCGGCACGTTGAGAAAGACGCGAAATGCAGACATGATGCCATGGATGAATAAAATAAATGTATTAATCTATGATGCCACCGTGAAGGTGGGCCTTGAGGCGCAAAGTTACAAAAATCGCACAATATTGTCGAAAATCCTGCCAGCGTCAGGACTCGAACCTAAAACCTCCCGGTTGCCAATATCGTTGCTTCGTGAGTCCATGATACTTGGGTTCTGACAGAGTGAAGTATCTTAGTTCCCTTTATATAACAGGTTCGAGACAAACCAGCGCTCTCGTATAATTCTCTCTCGTATAATAAAATTATTAAACGCTCTAACAAAGGTAAGTGTATAATTGAATATGATTACACTTTTCACTGAATTTTCAAACATTTTGAAGAAAAACGGAAATCTCCCGGGCAATAATTCTACAGACAGCGCCTGAATTTGACCTAGCTTCTAGCTATTGTCATAAATCCTGCCACCGCAGGGACTGCAACCCTAGGACCTCCCGACCAGAGTCACTGCAACATCAGTAGATGCTCTGAGCCACCTTTGCCAGTTTAAGCAATTCGAGACATCGCAGATTCCTAGGAGAGTGACCTTACGGGAACCCTGTTACTAACGGTGCCGAGCTCCTAGCCGAAGGGATGAATGACACTGACTGCGGCACATACACACACACGTAAGCGTGCGTACCCGCACGCTAATATATATATATAT